CTGTTCTAAGATCGACAAAAAGACAAAAACATATATGACTCCTCCCTGTCTCGGTAGATGCGGGGGTCGAGAACGTGTCTTTAAGACTCTATTCGATCTCGGAATTTGGATGTTCAGCGAACAACATAAAGGATTTACTGTCTTTTTCCACAATTTGTCTTACGATGGTCAGTTTCTCCTTCAGTATTTATTTTCACAGTCCCTTCGCCCCTCTTTTATCATATACAGAGGAAGCAAGATTCAGATGTTCAACATCAGCGGATTACAAATCAGAGTCATAGACTCTTTTAATTTCCTTCCCATGGCCTTGTCCAAACTTCCCAAAGCCTTCCAACTGGATTCTTTGAAAAAGGGATATTTTCCTCATTTTTTCACGAGTGTGGCCAATTTAAACTACCTGGGACCCTATCCTCCTGCCAAGACTTACGGTCCCGACGGCATGTCGGTAGAAGGCAGACAGGAATTCTTAAAATGGTACGACGCTAAAATAACAAGTGGTGTCGTGTTTGATTTCCAAAAGGAAATGCTCGAGTACTGCCGCAGCGACGTGGACATCCTCCGTCGAGCCTGTCTCAAATTCAAAAACCTTCTGTGGGAAGCAACGTCCGGAGACGGAGGACGGGGTGTCGACGCTTTCGGTTCCTGTACCATAGCTTCGTTATGCATGAACGTCTTCAAGACAAAATTCTTACCCGAAGACTGGAAGATCTTGGTTCAGGAAAACAACGATGAACAGTGGTTAATGGAGAGACGACTAGACGGGCAAGCAGAAGTGCTGTACGAAGGACGATGGATTTCACGCAAAGATCTGGGATTGCAAGTGTTAAAAGAAGAATTTGTTTCCTCTCCCATCGCTCGACCTCCACCGCAGGGATACCACTCTCGCGTCAATTACAGCAAAAAGTCCATTGCATGGCTAGAATGGTTACGGGAACGTGCACGAGTCGAGGGACGAATTTTGAACATCCGACATGCCCTCACTGATCGTGGTGAATATCGCGTTCCTGGAACGCGGTATTCTGTAGACGGTTACGTTCCCCCCAGTTTAGAAAATCCAGGTGGCGTTGCGTACGAGTTTCACGGATGCAGATACCACGGTTGTCCCCTCTGTTACAAGAATGGGGACGACGTCCTGATACCCAATTCGAACCAGACAGCATCGGAATTGTTGGCCCTGACGCGACACAAAGAACGTCAGCTTCGAGGACTTGGTCTCAAAGTTGTTGTCTGCTGGGAACACGAATTCGACGTCCTGTTGAAGTCGGATGATACAGTCAGGACTTTTGTCGACCAACTAGATTTGGTCGACAGACTGGATCCCCGCGACAGTCTCATGGGAGGACGTACCAATGGATGTGTCTTGTACAAACGAGCAACCAGGGATACCAAGATAAAGTATGTGGATTTCACCTCACTGTATCCCTTTGTCAACAAGACCTGTCGGTATCCGATCGGTCACCCCGAGATCATCACACGTGATTTTAACGACCTCTCTTCCTATTTTGGATTAGTGAAAGTCAAAGTTTTGCCACCTCGTGGTCTCTTTCATCCGGTCTTGGGCTATCGTACGGGAGGTAAATTGACGTTTCCTCTGTGTCGGACTTGTGTGGAGCGTCAGCAACAAGAACCTTGTACTTGTACTGAAGCACAGAGAGCCTTGACGGGGACTTACTGTACACCCGAACTCGAAAAAGCCGTTCAGAAAGGATACAAGATTTTGAAAATGTACGAGGTGTATCATTGGTCCGAAACTTCAAAATACGATCCATCTGCTCTGACTGGAGGTCTCTTTGCCTCTTATATCAACCTTTTCTTAAAAATTAAACAAGAAGCCAGTGGTCGACCATCATGGGTTCAAACAGATGAGGATCTGAATCAATACATTGAGATGTACGAACGCAAAGAAGGAATCAGACTCGATCCGGGTAACGTTGAGTTTAATGCGGGTCTTCGAAGTCTGGCTAAATTACTTTTAAATAGTTTTTGGGGAAAATTTGGACAACGTTTGAATTTGACAAAGACTCAATTTTTGCATGACAGTCAAGCAAACGTACTCTACCAATCCATGGTCGATCCTACCGTCGAAATTGTCGACTTTCAGATTGTCAATGACAAAAACCTCATGCTGTCAACGAAACGTACCTCCGAGGAGATGTGTTTACCGGGTCATACAAACGTATTTCTGGCATCCTTCACTACCTGTTGGGCCCGCCTCCAGCTGTACGAGTTACTAGACCGTTTACAGACTCGCGTCCTGTATTGGGACACAGATTCCGTCATCTACACTACCAAAGAAGGGGATTGGGACCCTCCCGTTGGTGATTATCTAGGAGAACTAACAAACGAACTCGAAGAAGGGGACTGGATCAGAATTTGTCTGTAACGGTCCCAAGAATTACGCTTACCAGACACATAACGGTAAGCGAGTATGTAAAGTCAAGGGATTTTCCTTGAACTACACCAATTCGCAAATTCTGAATCTGGAAAGCATGAAGGATGCCATGTTTAACAGGGAAGAACCCGACCTCGGCATCTATCATACAAAAAATTCAAATAAGATCTGCCGGGAAAAAATTCACTCGGAACTCTATTCCCAGGAAGAACTGAAACAATATTCAGCTGTCTACACAAAACGGGTCGTCCAGAAGGACCTCACGACCCTACCTTACGGATATTGAAGGAAAAAAGACCATTTGTAATTTTCGTCATTTATTGGTTTGTTCTTTTCATTTTGAATACATGATACGTTTGAACATTTGACAATTTTTTCTTAATGTCAATAAAATGTTTAAAACTTGATCCAAGTCTTATTTTTCTTCTGTTGGAAAGCACGCAGACCCGGAGGAGATTTCCTCTTTAAGGGTTTGGCATAAATCAATCCGAATCCGGTCTGGAGGTCTGGAACGGTTTTTGCATTCGAAACATCTGATTCGGTTTGACTTTCTTTGGAATGGTCGGTGGATTCCTCGGTATTCGTCCCTTGATCTCTAACCTCTTTTTTTTCATTCTGGCAAAGCTTCATCTGATCGTTGATCGTCTTTTTGACGAGAACGTACTCCTCTGCCATCTTTTTTCAAGTGAGGTTTAAGAATCAAAGAAATAGCTTCGGGATGTTTCCTGAGTAATTTCTTAACGTCCGTGTTGTCGACGTTACGGTCAGCAAGAGACTGAAGGAGAGTCTTGTGAGCTTTCAGTTTTGTTCTGTAGTAAGAGGACACGACCGGATGACCCAAATATAAATTCATAGCTATTTCCCGGAAGGCTTTCAACTGTTCTTCAGTGGCCATGCCTACCAGTTCTTTCTTTTGTTGAGGATCTGTAGAGTACAGAAATTGCAAGAAGAGATCGTGGCGTCTTGTTCTCTGGGACATGATGAAATGACAGGGTTGGCGAGTTCCGGTGGTATTTATTGGGGTAGGTACACAACGGTTTCTCCTTCCTCCGGTAAGACGTTGGTACGCAATCGTCGTTCTTCAGGACAGTGATTGGTCAGGTCCACCAGAATGTATCCATAAGGACGCCGCACGGATTTGGCGTACGCGTCCATCCAAAATTTGGATCGTCCCGTAAACACTTGACTCCCAAACGTGATGATTTGACGATTGTCTCTCACGTTTTTAAACAAGACCACGTGTTGACAGTTTAACAAGATGCTCTTGGCATAAACCCCAGGCGGATATAAGTTTTGAGACAAGAGGAAGGCCGTTACGTTGGCGTGAGACACCATGGTCTGAAACAGGTGTAAGGCGTCGGCACTCTTAGTTACCAAATGAATCATGTCGTCCAGGATGACGACAGTGTGAGGTGAATCCATGCACCATTCTCTTAGGTCTTCTCGACTGGGTAGACCTCGGTAGGTGGAAAAATTGGATAAACTTGACTGCATGTCGTCTACGATGGGCTGGTCTTCCAAGTAACAGTACACGATTTTTCGAGGAGGAACGTCAAATAGTTCACGACCGTGCTTCAACAAGTTCCATACGAAATGAGTCTTACCCGACATGGTTCCGCCAACGACGGCAAAAGAAGTGGGGGTCTTGAATTGCATCGTTCACCTTCGAGATCCTTCGATCGACTGATTCGTCTGAAGGACGAAGGTCGTATTTAAAAAAAAAAAAACAACAACAAAAACAAAAAAAAACTTTTTTTTGTTGTTACACTTTTATTGAATAAAATCTTTTAAAATATATCATTACTACATGAATTCAATTTTAACTTTACATCACGTAAACAAAACCCATCCTTATACAAGAGAAAAAAATAGAACGATCATATACATAGATATATACCAATATTATTTCATACCATGTCACATGAAAAAAAAAATTCACACAGTAAAAACAATTTGTGACCTCAGAAAAATAAAAAAAATTATAAGACTTAAATCTGTCCTCATTTCCGCCGCCGCCGCCGCCGCGGAGGACTTGAAGACTCCGGAAACTTTTGGTCTCCGGAAAACTTTCAGTCTCCGGAAACTTCAGGTCTCCGGAGACCTCAAATCTCCGCAGTCTGTGGTTAAGACCAAAGTCTTTTAGTTCTTTTTCAAAATGACGTCCTTCACAAGCGTTTCGGAGGACTCTCGGACGATGCGTGGCATGGAGATCCCCTTGGCACGACAGTTCAGAAAATATAATACGTAAAGTCCACAAGTATCGGTAGAGTCTGGTTGTACTTGAACGTTGTTGTAAACACATAACAGCGAGTTGCGGTCCACAAAGTCTCTGAGACGCTCGTCGTAATCTTCTGGTAATCGTCCAAAACTATCAAAAAATTCACATTGGTCGGCACTGACAAACCAGTAGGCGATCCAATGTGTCCCCTTCTTCTCGATGGGGTCCGTATTGGACACGTAAGCAGAAGGAAATTGGCGCACCCGATCAGGTAAAGTATTGGAAGCATAGATTCCTCGAAAGTGAGGTCGCAGTGCGTTTTGAGATTCGACGAGTTTTAACATTTGCCGGGAATCCATTTCTGTTTTTTTTTTAGGTCTTCTGATGAGGTTAGATTTGTCGGACTTCACGGGATTGATCAATCATCAACAGTCCGGGACACTCACAGTAGGCTAAGGCACAGATGGTTTCTGTCGTTGCTGTAGCGAACCGAGCGTACACTCCCACGTTTCCTTGGTGTACCAGATTTATATATCCTTCTCCCAAGTCGTTGGGGACGAGGTCAAAGGCATAGATGGCATATCCTTTGGAGAACTGGTCTCTGTCGATGATCAATCCTTCGTCTTTGTACCATTTCTCACTCGATTGATAAAGGTTACAAAGTGCAGTGACATAGTTCCGATTGTCACCATAGTCAAATTTTAAAGGGCGAACGGGGATGGGTTCGCCATTAACGGTCACCACAATTTCGGACAGATTAAAGTGCTCAAAGTTAAAAGGATTAGTTCCGTAGCTCCCGTTGACGGCCGACTGTTTGACGAAGGCAACGTACATCTTTGAGGGTTGTTTTCCGTTCCACACGTCGTCCCAGTAAAATTCACTCGTTTTGTCTGCAATGGTGGTCATCTTAACGTCCGTTTTCAGGTAGTTATATCGCGCCGGTGTCTTAGTGATAGCCTCGGCGTGATTTAACAACACGGCACTGTCTACTCGGATTTTACAGGCCTTAAAGACGGCGTCTAGAATGGTGACCTTATAATTGGGACTGCTTTCACCACTCATCACGACAAATTCGTTCCGAGAACGAAACAGTCTCAGCTGTAAGTCAACGCCATTGATGAGGTACTTGTCCAAGTAAAAACAGTCCAAGTACAAGGGCCCCTCTAAATCGAAGGTCCTGGACATTTGAGTAAAGACGTAACGAGATCGAAGTCCCGTATTTCTTCCCGAGGCGGCATTTGGATCCTCCACACCGTCTTTGTCGGGATAATACAACTGGGTCTGTAGATAAGATTTACTGGCCTCCGCACTGCTGGACAAGACCACTTTCAGGTAGGCTTTCCAAGGGTAGTTGTTGGCATTCTGGGTGACACATTTTCCATTCATAAACACGTCAATTTGAGAGAACAGAGATTGTAAGGGTAGGTTAACGATCCCCGTCTTCTCCGAAGCAGCCATGGACGTACCGTCGGCTTTGGTGATCTTCACTTTCAGGTACAACCGACTTCTTCTCAAATCTAAATACTCATTTCCACTTCCGGGAATTGCAAATTCGAGCGGAGCGTCGTCCGCGTCAAAGGAATATATAGGTCGAGTTTCAGAAAAATATATTTTTTGAAGAGCCACTTGATTGGGAGGATCGGTGAAGAGAGAAAGTTCGCATGGTTCTGCCGTAGAAGTGTTAATTTCGGTCAAGAAAGACATGACTGTCAAAAGATGGGTTTTCCGTCGGGATGTGTATTAGGTCGACCTTTCCCTTTCTGCGCCTTCTTGGATTTTTTTTTCTGATTCCGTTTCTTAGGTGGAGCACGTCTTTTCCCTTTAGAAGTCGAGGAACGAATGAGCTGTTTCTTCTTGGTCTTCTTTTTTATAGATTTTCGAAGAGGCATGTGGGGCTCGTCGTTACGCATAGTTTCTTTCAGATCCGAAAGAGCTCTTTCTCGTTCGGCTGCGACTGGAGTTACCTGATGGATTTCCGACTTGGGGGAAACAACAGGTTTCACGGGGATCATATATGCCCTCCGTCGATTTAAGATACCACCCCCTTTTTGACTCTTTTTTCGTATCGTAGGAATGAAATTTTCTCCTCTCTGCGTGTGACGAAACTGCTCAAACAATGCAGGATGCGATATGTAAGTCGGTCCAGACATTCTCAGAGTTGTCTAAATACGAGCGTTACCGTCGACTCCCCGGTCAAAAATGAGACGTCCTCGTCTTGTTTATCCTTTATATACACGTGGATGTCTCTGAGGTCCTTGGTGCGCAAAGGAATCCTATAGGGACGAAGAAAAATTACGTTGTTTGCGTCCTTCAAGACGATACGTCTCAAAAGCGGTTTCTGACTTCCACCTACGATGCTGTCGTTACAGACGGAACAGTATACGAAAATTTCCTTGTCGGACGTCTTACCAAGCTTTGTGTTTCTGAATTCGGTCAGTTCTACCGTCCAATCGCCCGTTAAAGGTAAAGGTCTGGGTAATCGCACTCGAAAGTTTTGCGGTCGATTGTCGACATGAATGGTGGCACTGTCCGTCGACTTTAGAACCATACGCATCGACATCTTAACGAAAACTGATGACAGGGGGAACCCTCACGTCTCTTTTATATCGCCTTTCGGGATCCAGCTGTCAAATTTTTTGGGCCACCCCAACCATCTCACTAAAACTTCTTCTTTTCCGCGAACCTTGCGTTTACGCAAAATCTTGTCGATTCTCCAAATGGTATCATCGTCTTTCAAGACCTTTTGGAGTTCACTTGCATAGAAGGTTCCCTGGATGGGATCGTCTGTCAAGTCCTTCAATTTATAGATGGGGATGCCTTGAGACACCCATCGATCTCGAATCACAAAAATTTCTTCCGTGTACGTCTGGTCGTAATCCCGTTGAAAAGGACGTCGTAGGTGTGTGATTCGCACTTGATCTCCTATCTTAAACGTGTAAGGCAAACGTTTCTTTGACTTGTTTGATTTCTTCACCTGAGGGACCTGGGTGGCTTTTCGACGACGAACGAGGTAGGCGTCTAACCTCACCTCTTCTTCGTTTGCTTTCGTCACGGAAGCCGGGGTGCGACCGTTTAACGAACGATTGGGAGTGTCATTGATAGATTGGACCACATCTTGTAAGATGTCCGAGTACTTGTATTTCTGGAGATGCGTGAAATATCGATACAAGCGTTTTTTCAAAGTCTGAATATATCTCTCTGCAAAGTTAGCCTTGGTCTCATTCAAAGCATAAAAAATCTTAATCCCTTGGTCTTTCAGATATCGTTGCAAAAGACGGTTGTAAAATTCCGATCCTTTGTCGGTTCTTAAAGCTTTCGGTCTTCTCGAACCTTGAAACACGTCCTTGAATGCATCCATCACGGATTTAGCTTTTCTGTCTTTTAGGGGACGGACCCACAGGTAGCGAGAAAAAACGTCGACGATTACCAGGAGGAAATTAATACCGTCATTGTACTCGGACAGATTCTGAACGTCGGCAAGGTCAGCTTCCCACTGGTAATCGATGCCTTGTACGACGACTCTTCTCCTCTTAAACCCTTTTCGGCGCACCTTCTTTTGAAGGGAATACGCGTCCTGATTCTGTAAAAACTTTTTGATTTTCCCCATACCCACGTTGAACTTGCCTTCTTGTTTTACTACTTGATACAACTTGGAAGGTCCGGCAAACGATCCAGGATGTCGAGGATCGTACCATATTTTTTTCAGGTACTCTTCCATGTCCACACGTCGTGACGGTCGATGTGGGAATGACACTACATCACAGATACTTCAACTCTTATAATTATGTGTATCATTGAATAAAAAAAGACACAAGACCAATAACAAGACATGAGATTTTTATTACACCCATTTCTGTTTTTTTTTTTTACAACATAGGAAAAAAAAACATTTTTTTTTGGATTGCTTATCTCACTACTATGATTGATCTCTGCCAACACGGCTCGGAGCACGTACGTGTCCTAGATCGGTTATTTCGGATTCTTGACAAACAATCAAAAATAAACAAGAGCACCGCTAAGCGGAGCATCCCCTCGCGCCAGGAACTTCACCGGTAATGGCAATGTCTCCATATACGAGAAAAATTCTCAAAACGGACGTTAAACAAGATACACTCATCTAGGCCTAGTAATCAAGGGTATCCAGTATTACTATATGAAGTTTATAATAAGGTAAAGAAATTAAAATGTATTGCAATACTAGTTAAATTTTAACAAAAGTCAAGGTGCATACACTGTATCATGGTGGGGGGGGGGGAGGAGGAGGTTGGGTCATAACAAGCATACGTGATTGGGCAGATTCCCTTATTCCTAGCAGAAACATATCACGTATGCTCTAAATTTCATTAATTTACCTATCTGGGTAAACCTCACAGTAGCATGCAATATGCATCAAATCTGAAAATACGCACGGAAGTAATAATTTTTTGTAGTGAAAAATGACAATATACCGGTGTTGAGATGTCAATGAATTCCTCAGGCCCCTATTGTAAACAACACACGTGTGGTAATTTGGTATTGAAACTGCGACGTTCATCAAATTATTTCAGTTAATCGGTGACAGAGATAACACTTTTAATTCATACAAACTTTCTCAAGACACGCACAATAATATGACAATACGCAAATACAAAGTAAAACTTAAGAAGCGGCTCTATCGAAACGACCCGAATTTTAACCAATTTACCGGAAGTGAGTATTGTCAACTCGTACACAAAATTGCAGGATTTGAAGGTAGTAAAAATGCGATATTTTAAGAACTATTTCACCGATTAACTTGAAAATGAATAGGGTTCGTCCTTTTACAATGCCACATAAGTATGTGAAGGCTGAGAAATGATAGTGCAAAGGTTCTCTTTAAATCTTGCCCACAAGCTGTAACGGACACACTAACACACTAACACACACACATACGCACAGTAGCGATGCTATATCCCCTCCGCAACTAGTTGCGCGAGGGGATAACAATACCAATCATTTTTAAAAAAACACACACATTATAAAAATGTTCTTTGCATATCGAATTCAGGGAACAGTTGGGCCTTTTCCTTTACATTTTCCCGTCGGTTATCATCTGGGCATACATGCAATTCTTAGACCAACGGAGATGTTCTTGATAGGCATCGTCCATAGGCTCCCAACTTTTCAGCGTCATTCCACAGCAAAAACAAGTCACCTTGTCCCCCATCTGTGTGTAAATGAATCCAGCTCGAGCCAGATCTTTTCGGTTAGGTCCCTTTAAGTATCTAGGCCAGTCCCCATACGTAGCTATCCTAGAGGCAAAGGTGAGGTACTCTGGATACTGCTAGAGACGCTGTTGAGGTGGAGGTGGTGGAATGTTTTTGATTGTCATCTGTCTCGTTCCGACATTTCGCAATTCCTTTCTCCCTTCTTCTAAAGGAGTGTCTTGGTATCGCCAGGCAAAGTTGGCACTTGAATCCCAAGAGGTGGAAGATTGATCTTTCAAAGAAGAATAATCACTTCGAGGATAATCACTAACGGAATCCGTCTCCACAAAATTGGCGGCACAATCTAGAGAAGAAGACATCTTGATCTCTCCAACGGCAAGCGAATAATAAAGAGGGAGAGTGGAAACAACCCTCATATATACTCTGTATGACGTCATTCGTCCTTGAACAACCCTACAATTACTTCATTGTTCATCAATGAATACCTTGTAACATTATGACGTCAAAACATTTTTTCTATAATATATAGGCCATTGACGTCACTGATTAGGTGTTTCTTTTTTCCCAAACCTTTGTTTTTTGAATGACGCCACTCTCCTATTGTCATAAATATAAAAGATCTTCTCTTACTTTGACGTCATTAAAAGTTCACAAAACAAGAATTGATAACACCCTGACCTAGTATTTCAAGGTGAAATGAAACAATGGTTTGAATGCTGTTACGGTCTCTTCTTTTACGTCATGGTATTTCCTTGACGTCAGCTTTTGCTATATAACCGAAAATTCAGAGAGACAGAGCTTCATTTTCAACTTCATCGTCCTGTAAAACACATCATGTCAGATCAACGTTGCTCCGTCGCTCTCGAAAATGGACGTTATGCCAAAGTCACCCTTTGGCAAAACGAAGTTAGATTAGATATGCGAGAGTATATAGTGGGAGAGAAAAAAATCATACCCACCAAGAAAGGAATATCTTTGAAACTGCATCACATCAAAACGCTGTCTAATTTCATGGATTCTATACAGGACACCTTAAAAAAGAACGGAGAAATGAAGTGGCACCTGGGATATAATGTTTACGTCTCCGTGAAAGAAGACAATCCTTGCGTCGACATACGACAGTATTGGAAACCACCACAGACCGATGAGTCTGTTCCAACTAAAAAGGGCTTATGTCTCAGACCACAGGAATATGACCACTTCCTATCTCAGTGGGAAACAATCCTTAATTCCATACCAGAATTGGAAACATTCGTACCCTGTTATGATCAAGATGATCATTTGAATCAACTGGGAATGCTGTGAATGATCAAAAAAAAAAAAAAACATTGACTTTTAACCATCATCTATTATATAGTAATTAAATGCCATTTATCGTTATATCTGTTGGAATTGTAATTTTTTGTACAATAAATTTCATCATTTCAACAAAAAATTGTCCTGTTATTCTTTCTACTAAAGGTTTTTGAGATGATGATGGAAAAATGGCTACGGATTTTTTTTATTTGGAATGCAACTTCTTTCAAATCGACGTCCTTCAATTCTACAGTTATTATCATGTTTTATTTCATGTGTCGACCCTGTTTCTGCTTTTCCTTTTTAAATTCCTTTTTTCAGCTTTTTTTTTTATTTTCTAATTTGAACGAACGGAACGTCACATTGGAAAAAAAAAACAACAACACAAAAACACACTCTCTTATCATTTATTATAATTACACATGCAAAAATAAATTTCTATCAAAAATATACATTCTAAAAGTTCAATGTCTCATTCATATAAATTCACATGGATCTTCTTTACGCCAAACACCGTCGGGCCACATGAATTCAACTCTACCGTAATAGAAATCTTCCCAGATTGATTCGTAATAGGCAGACATCATCTCTTCGTAGGGAATATCATCAGCCATGGTGATTTTCAAAACCTCTGAAATATTTAAGGGTTTCTCTTTCCATAATTCGTCTTTAATGTCCTGTGCACGAAGACAAAATGTAGGCATTTTCATGACATTCGTTTTAGCTTCTAACGCCAGTCTGACAAGACAGTGTTTTTCGTGCACGAGTTTGGTTCTCAACACGTAATGTTTTTCACAGTAGTCACAGGACACAGGGTTCGTGTTGTTTGCAATATAATCGTCGATGAGAATTTTTACAACTACAGCCTTTCTTAAGAAAATCCCAAAACCCACGTCTTCTCTTTCCATCGTGTCCATGTATTTATTTAAATTCATCCTCTAATATACGTGTACTCTGTTGTTTGATCAGTAACAGTTTGATCATTCCTTTCACGGTTTTTTTCTTTTATTCATTGAAAATTAGGTCAAGGTCACGTCAAAAAGAGGGTTTTCCATTTACGTCACTCTCCACTAGGCTTTGTGTTTCATTTTGATACACTCATTGTTTATCCCCCCTTGTATTTAACTTATTTTTTCATCCCAGGGTATAGTATGACATTAGATCAAGGTCGTCTTCCTTCTGTTTAACCTTTGTATGGAATTAGGTCATACATTGTTCTGTTAATAATAGTTCTGTTAATAATAGACTTATTGTTTCCCTTTTATTTCTAACAATAGATCCATTGTTATAAAAATAGACTACTTCTAACAATAGATCCATTGTTATAAAAATAGAATCCTTTTATTCTCCATTGTCCTCTGACTACAATAGAATCCATTGTTCACCCCGGTGTATAGCCGTCCTTACTACTTGTGTCTATCTTTTTTGACTTAGAAAAAGCGTATGATACTACATGGAAATATGGTATTTTAAAAGATCTTTACAATGTTGGTCTCAAAGGAAATTTACCTAATTTTATTAAGAATTTTTTAAATAATAGAACTTTTAAAGTGCGATTAGGAACTACAGTTTCAGACAATTTTGAACAAGAAATGGGTGTACCACAAGGAAGTATTCTTTCAGTCACATTATTCAGCATTAAAATAAATAGTTTGGCTGAAGTACTTAAAAATGATATGCATGGTAGTTTATATGTTGATGACTTTGTTCTGTGTTATAAGTCTAAAAATATGAATTTTACTGAGCGGCGGTTACAATCATGTCTAAACAAAATTCAAAATTGGGCCGATACTAATGATTTTAAATTTTCAATGAATAAAACCGCGTGTGTACATTTTTGTTTAAAGCGGAAAAGCCATGATGATCCGAATTTGCAATTAAATGGAAATCCAACAAATATAGTTAAAGACATAAAGTTTTTAGGTGTCATTTTTGATAATAAACTCTCTTTTATTCCACACATAAAGATGCTCAAAGAAAAATGTTTAAAGGCACTCGATATTATTAAAGTAATAGCAAACACAAAATGGGGAGCTGATAAAAGTACTCTACTTAAACTCTATCGCTCTCTAGTAAGATCGAAATTAGACTATGGGTGTATTGTGTATGGATCAGCTAGGACTTCCTATATAAAAGCTCTTGACGCAATCCACCATCAAGGTCTTAGATTGTGCTTGGGGGCTTTTAGAACTTCTCCTAAAGATAGTTTATATCTAGAGGCAAATGAACCACCTCTAGACTTGAGAAGAATTAAACTTGCTTTACAATATATAATTAAATTAAAAGCAAATACCGATAATCCTGCTCATGACTGTGTTTTTCATCCACCAAATGCAAATTTATATGATAAAAACAAGAAATGCATAAAACCACTTTGTTTCCGATATAAAAATCATATAAGAGATTCCGAACTACCATTGGATATTGTAAAACCTTCTACTCTTTCTGAAATACCACCATGGAAATTAATTAAACCAGTAGTGAATAAATCTTTATCAGATCTTAAGAAATCAGAAACAAATCCTCTCATTTTTCAACAGAAATTAGCTGAAATAAAATCTAAACATCCTTCAAGAGAAATTTACACAGATGGTTCTAAGGAAAGAGGCAGGGTTGCTGCTGCTGCAGTGGTCAAAAATGATGTTTTTTCTACACGACTTCCGAACGAAGCAACAATTTTTACGGCCGAAGCAAAAGCTATACAACTTGCTTTTGAATATATAAAAACTTCTAGTGAAAATTCATTTACAATATTTTCAGACTCGCTCTCATGTTTAGAGTCCATACACAATATGAACACAAATCACCCATACATTTTGGATATATTAACTAAGTTCTATCATCTTACTCAACAAGGCAAAGAAGTCGAATTTTGTTGGATTCCGAGTCACATTGGTATTTCGGGTAATAACAAGGCCGATAGTTCTGCAAAAACAGCTCTTCAGTATGAAATTGTACCTTTTAAAATTCCTTACACTGATCTTAAGTACTTGGTGAAACTTTACGTAAATTCCCTTTGGCAAATATTTTGGGATTTTTGTGATAATAATAAACTTTATACCATACAAAACAAAGTTAATCAATCATCTGACTTTGGCCTGAAACGTCAGGACGAAGTAATTATTTCAAGAATAAGAATTGGACATTCAAGGTTTACCCATTCATATTTACTGAGCGGGGAACATCAACCTGAATGCATATCTTGTGACTGTGTAATAACTATAAACCATATACTTTTAGAATGTTCTGATTTTACGCCTGTTCGAAATAAACTTTTTAATGGCGTGCAAACAATGCATGATCTTTTTACAAATGTAAATCCTAGTGCAATTTTACAATACTTGCAAGAAACTGATTTTTACAATAAGATTTAAATGTATATATTTTTATTAGCATTTTGTAATTTTCAATTTAACTGTTTTTATTTTTAAATTCCAAGTCCGTCGGATGGGACGTAAAACGGTGCCCCGTGTCAAGGATTACAACCCCCTTGGCACGCTAAAGATCGTTTCTCTGGTTTTCGAAAAAGAGTAGGCTCATTGGGGGCCGCCAGAGAAACCCAAAAACTCTCAAAACCGTTCATACAGTATTTAATTCATACCGCCGAAATATGGCTGAAATATTGCCGACTCGGCGTAAAACAACAATAATCAATCAATCAATCATCGAAATATATTTTTGATTATGCAGCTAGGGAAAATATTCAACTAGACCGCGATGCTATTAGCAAAAATCCCGCATTGAGATCTATTGCCAAATTACTTTTAAATTCATTTTGGGGGAAATTTGGGCAGCGCTTAAACATGCCTCAAACATCCTTTTATCACGATACTGAAGCTGACAAATTTTTTACAAGTCTTTCATTAATGATGAAATGATCCATACTACATGGAAAAACAAAAGCGATCTCGTTAAAGAAGATTACCAGACAAATATCTTTATTGCAGCATTCACTACCTGTTGGGCTAGGCTAAAACTTTACGACGTTTTACACATGCTTGACAGACGTGTCTTATATTTCGATACAGATTCCGTAATTTTTGTCATTAGACGAGACGATGTAGAACCAGAAATTGGACCTTACCTTGGGCAGTTGACGAACGAGTTACATGTACCATCTCCTGACGATTACATTGTAGAGTTCGTGTCTGGTGGTCCTAAAAACTATGCCTTTAGATCACTTCAAGGAGAGCAGATCTGTCGCATTCGCGGGTTTTCACTCAATTATAAAAATTCACAAATCTTAAACTTTCATTCCATGTTAGATATTGTTACAACTGACCAGAGCAAAACTTTGACTGTTACAAATCCTGCAAAAATCACTAGGTCTAAATACTTATATAAAATTTATAACACTGTAGAAAATAAACAATATCAACTTGTTTATTCGAAGAGAGCAATACAACCGGATTCGTATGACACGTTGCCTTACGGATATTGATAAAGTATTATAGTAATTAAATGCTCTACCTTTCTCCCCCTCCTCCCCCTCTGATGTCCATGTAATTAAACAAGGAGGGGGGGGGGACCAGCATATTACATAAAAAAGAAACATATCTCCAGTTTTTTTTTAAATTTATTTATTGTGTATTTTAACAGAATAAATTATAATGTTATGATTAAAGTTTAAACCACTGCTGCTGCTTCTTCTTTTTTTGTATAGTCTTGTGCACAGGAAATCCAGGTGGGGGTCCATTTGTTTTCTTTTCGACGACAAATCCAAAACCTTGTTGATTTTTCTTGTTCTTCTTTTTTCTTGAAATTTCTTGTTCTTCTTCTTTAGAAGTTTGTGTTTGTTTTGATACTGATTGTTCTCTCGGTAATTCTTCTTTTTCTTCTTGACTGATCGGTGGCTCTTCTTTTGATTTTAAGAGTATGTCATACTTTTCTTTTGGTATTAAAAGTAACTCCCGAAACATTATTTAGCACACTCAATGACGGTTTAAGTAAAATAGGTAGTATTGTATGTTCCCGTAGTAATAGTTTCCGTTTGACACTCTTCTTTATCG